TTGTTTTGGAGGATTATCGCAAACCCGTACCTCCAAGGGAAAGGGAACCCGTTTCTGCAGTTTCCAGGTTGCCGCTACGACGGGGGCGCCGAAGCCAAGACAAATTACACTCAAGGGACGACAATGTTATTTCGTCGGACAACGGCCCTAAGGACGCTGAACCTGCGGTCTCAGCTCCGGAGCCAGTCAGACAGGAGCGCCGGAAACAAAGCCAGTCGAACAGAACGAACGACGGCCCCTTGAAGGACAATGACAAATCGAACTACTCGCTCCCCGCACGCCCCAAGCCCAAGGAGCCCAACGAGGACTATCCACAACCGACACGGGCTCCTGGCGGTGACACCCCCCACTTCAGTGACCGTAGCCAACCCACATTTCAGCAGCAACAGCAGCGCCCTCAGAAATCCGAGAAGACCACGCGACAGGGACCCAAAGAACCGTCATCTGTTGTTGTTGTCACACCCCGTGAGTCACCTAGCGAAGAATACTGGGGAAAGGATGAACGGAATGTCGCTCCGGAGGGAGTTCGCAAAGCCGGAGGCCCCAAAGACACTGCTTCGGCACCGCGGCCGTTGATTTGGAACGAGCCGCGAAGTGATGATGGGCCAGCTCCGGCAGTCAAGGATGATGCCGTTGAGAAAAATTCTCGACCCGGGGACTCTGAGGAAACGCCTTTGGATGAATTCGTGCTTGCGCCAAACGGCGAGGAACGCCGGCGTAGAGATGAACCTGATTCGAATAAAGACAATGCGCCGGAGAGTGGCCGGGGAGCCAGGGGCGAGGAAGATATTAACGTGCAAAGGTACAGATTTTCCCGTCAGCAGAGAGAGGAAAAACGCCAGAGAGAAGAAAGACGACGCCAGGAAGTTGAAGGAATTGCGAATCCTAATGGTCAAACTAGAGAGGAGTATGAGAAGGTATAACCCTTTTTTCTTTGTGATTTACCTTGATTTACGTGTGATTTACGATTTACGGTTATATGTATCATGCTTGTCAATTTACGTTTACGTTGTTCGTATGCTTTTGATTAGAGTCAATATGCTAAAGCAAGTTCGCTTCTTTCGTGTATAGGACCGCAAGAATGCCGAAGAGCATGAACCTGCGCGTTCCGTCGAGACGCCAGTAAAGGTAGATGATGGCAAAGATAACACGGAAGACTTGAGACTTCCGTTCCCCCTAAGCGTGCCTGACTCCCGACTCAGGAGCCGTTCAATATCCCCTCCTGGTTCGACGAAGGCCATGGTTGATGTGGGCCCGAAATCTCGAAGCAGGCCTACCTCGCCCGAATCGAACCGACAGCGACAGTCGCTTCGTGCCACTGATGGTGACCGATCACGGCGACTCTCCATGCTTCAAGATTCACCCACAGCTATTCCACTACAATTCCGTCATCCGCCCTCGATATCGCCTACAGGCCACCGCTCGCCATCTGTTGGTTCTCCCGAGCCGCCTGCTCCATCACTCAGCTCCCCACCTGAGAGACGTGCTCGGCGAAGATCAATGGAATTTGTGAACTCGCGCGAGATCATGCCGTTATTCCTTGTCGAGCAGAATGGGCAGCACCAGCACCCTATCGAGGGGCAACTTCCATCATTGCCGTCGAGTAAGAGTTCGTCAAGGACTTCATCGCCAGTAAAGAATCCAGGGCCGGATGAAAAAGACTGGGAAGTGGTTGAGCCGATTCAAGATGGGAATGTTGAAGAGGAGTCGAAGCCTGAGTCTTCCACCGTCATTCCTTCTCAGGAGCCCGCTTCGAGCCAAGAGGAGCAACCTAAGTCTGAGCCGTCTACCGTGATTCCTCAAGAAATCGCTGCTAGCCAAGCGGAGCAATCCAAGGCTGATCTATCGACCTCTGCTCAAGACTCCGATGAGCTGGAAAAAGAGGGAGAGGGGAATATCTGCAGGGAGTTGGAAGCCGGAGAACCAATCGACGAGCCACTCCCGCCCCTCCCGTCCAGCCATGGCTCCCTTAACGCATCGGTAGAGGACTTGAGTGTTGTTCCCGATGTGCAAAGCTGGAAGGTGCTTGACCTGACCCACGATATGCACCCTAAGGAGGAAGCCAAGCCTGATCTCACGACTCGTTCTGAGGAACGTCGTGGCGAGGAAGATTATGCGAAGGAGATCGAGAAGCCGGAGACTCAAGAACCAATTGATGAACCACTTCCATCACTCCCGTCGAGCCATAGTTCATTAAACTCTCCGGCAAGGAACCTGGAAACTGATCCAAATGAGAAAAACTGGAAGGCATTTAACTTAACCCAGGATGTCCACCCTAAAGAGGAGGTCAAGCCTGGTCCGTCTCCAGAACCCAGTGGTGAGGAGGAGCTGAAGGAGAAGGATAAAGATGAAAGGGACATTCAAAAGGTTGAAGCCCAGGCACCAATTGATGAGCAGTTTCCAACTCTCCCGCCGAGCAATGGTTCACTCAATACATCGGTAGAAGATCTGAGCGCTGTCCCTGATGAGCAAACCCGGGACCCAGCCGACTTAACCGGAGATACCCCGTTTGAGGAGCAGCTGAAGCCTGAGCCTTCGATCTCGACACCTGCACTCCAGTCCGAGGATCGATCCAAGCCAAGTTCTCCGATCATAAACCCTTCTTGTGAACCCACTGACGGTGACAAGACGGAGGAAGAAAGCGGAGCAAAGGACATAAGTGAAAAAGCATTGACCCAAGAGCCAGTCAATGTGCCACTTTCACCACTCCCCTTAAACAAAGGCTCATCGTTGAACGCGTCGGTTGAGAACCTCGTCCCAGGTGAGGAAGACTGGAATCCGATAGATCTGACACAAGCGGTTCATGAGGAGCAGCCTGAGTTTGGTCTCTCTTTCAGGGAACCCGTTGATGATGATGGGGAAAAGGAGAATGAAAAGGCAAAGGCCCCGGAGCCAATTGACGGACAACTTCCAACCCTCCCAAGTAACGGCTCATCTCTCAACGCGTCGGTAGAGTACTTGCGTGCTGTTCCTGGTGAGGACAGCTGGGACATGGTAGACCAACCTGATGTCCCAACCTCGATTCCTTCTCAGGAGCCCGTCCGAGACCCAGATTCTCAGCCTGAAGAAAAACCCAAATCTGAGCTCTCAATTACATTCCCCTTCCAAGAACCTGCCATGCATCAAGAGACCCAGCCAGAGGATCATCAACAATTTGGTCAGATCTCGTCTCAGGAAACTGTTCCGAACCAGGATCCTCAGCCAGAAAACAGACCCAAGTCTGAGCTCACAATAAAATTCCCTTCCCAGGAGCCTGCTTTGAATCAAGAGGCTCAACCAGAGAAGCAGTCTGAACGTGGTCTTTCAATGACGCCTCATTATCTGGAGCCCATTCTAGAAGAGGCTGAGGACGAAGTGCAGCCTAACCCGTCAACTACAATCCCTTCTCAACCCGCTCTGAACCAAGATGCTCAAGTTAAGGTCGAGCCCCGGCCTGACTCATCGATCACGATTTCCCAGGAACCCAGTGATGATGACTTGGAGAAGGAAAAAGAAAAGGACAAGGAGATAGAGAAAGCCCTCCCAGATGCTCAGCAAGAACCGCCCATCGAAGAAACAGCCTACAAGGATCCCACTTCGCCTGAAATAGGAGAGAAAGATACAAGCGGCTGGAAAATGGTAGAACCGATTCAAAATGCTCTGCCTGAGGAGCAGGCTGAGCCGGATTTCTCCAGTACAGCTCCTTCTCAGCAACCAGCCCGGAGACAAGACGCCCAGCTTGATCGACCGCGTGGTCTCTCCGCCACACCTTTTCAAGAAGCGGCTGGCAAGGAAGAATTGAAGGAAAAGGGAAAGGAGAAAGCGACGGATTTCTCAGACGCTCAGCAGGAACAACCTACCAGAGAGACAGTCGAGAAAGATATCCCTCCGCCCTACGAGAGTCATGAGGAAGACGAGGCAGTAAACCCTCACCAAGAAGTCCGGCCTGAGCCCCAGCGAAAGCCTAGTCTCTCCATTGCCATTCCTTCCCAAGATTCCGAAGACGAGCTGGAGGAGAAGTACGCAAAAGCAAGAGAAAAGGATACGGACTTCCATGAGTTCGACACCATCGACGAAGAATGGACCGCGTCCGAGATAATGAGGGAGAGAGAAAGACATAAGCACGAATTCGACATCCACTCTCCCGCTGAACTTCTTTGGGATCCTCACAAGTACTTCATCACGCCTCGGCCTTTTGGAGGGACGGGATCTCGTTCGTTCGGTGGAAGTCTAGCGCCCAGGTCCTATGAGCCGCCAAAGATCCAAGACGATGACATTGACATCTCTGACCCGGATGAGGATATCTCTCCTCCCAAGTCGGGGCCTTCTGGTCTGCCAGAAAAGGAAATTTCTGCGCCAGAGTCGGCGGAAATGACAGCATCAATTCGGGAAGAGAAGTCGGAGAACTCTGAGGACATGGGCATTGCGGGCACTCGTGATGAAGAAGAGCAACCGAAGAAGACTATCCCAGAAACTCGGCATGCTCACGTTGGGGAGGACAAAGCGATCGTACCTGACATCGAGCTTACGCCACCGATAAAGGATGCAATCGTTCCTACGGTTCCAGTTACGGCACCCAAGGAAGAGGAGCAGACATCATCAACTCCTGACTTCGGTGGCGTCGCTGATGCAACTGTTGCTGCGGCAGTAAATGCAAGAGAGAGTCATCCCACCCTAGAGGCTCAGTCCGATGCCAAGGAGGATGAGCCGGCTGTCCCTGAGGGGGGAGTTGCGAGAGATCTACCTGTGGAGCCAAAGGGTGACCTGAACTCCGAGATACCACCAGCGGAGGAGTCTACTGCTACGACTGAGCTCGATTTTCTGGACGCAAGCCAGCAGTCGGAGGATGGGCAAGAGCCTTACCGCACTTTGTCCCCTATAATGGAAGAACCAGACCTGGAATCCGAAAGGTCGCAAAGCGTGGATATAGCGCATGATGAGCAGACCCCTACTCAAGAAAGTGAGGAGATGGAATCGGCAGCACCTACTGCTGAAGACAAGTTTGTATCACGGGAACCGCTTGACAAACAATACCCTGTACCCGAGGTAGAACCGGCGGCCACCGCGCCAGAAACTGAACGTGGCCCAGGTGTCATCACCGAAAACGTGCAGAATACTGGTGAAGCGAGCCAGGAGGCCCAGCCAAGCGATGAGGCCCAGAGTGTTACGACGGAGACCGCGACTTCTCGAGACGGGTACGCCGAGTCAACCCAGGACTCCGGTACTGATTTCTGGGACGCCGTTGAAAAGCATGAGGAGGGAGAGGGAAGCATTGCTTCGTCACTCGACCGTCCAATTGATACATCGGAACCACCCACTCCACGCGAATGGAGGACTGAAGCATCTTTCGAACCGGAAGTGCCTGCTCAAGATGTTCATGTTAGCCCCGCCGAAGAGTTTTCGAGATCTACTCCTGTCGAGGAAGAAAGGCAGGATGCTCGTACGAAGCCGGAGGACCAGCTCCTCGAGAAGACAGGAAACAACACACAAGCTCCGATTGAAGCCCAGGACGCAATTTCCCGGTCTGGGACTGCCTGCGACGAGCTGCAGCGACAAATCGAGCCTGCAGTTGCTGACAGCGAGCAAGTACCAGGTAAATTGCCCGAGAAGGCCGAGCAACTCATCGCAAATGAACCCGAGGGTCTCGTGAAATCTGCATTGGAAGTAAACCCGGAGGCGGCCGCGGATATCGAAACGCTTGCAAATGCGGCTGAAAAGTTCCCTCAAGCAAAATCAAAGGAGGAGTACGAAAAGGATCGCAAGTTCTTTTCTTCCTTAGAGCCCCTGACAGAGACAGAAGCCGAACACTTCCAATCGGTTGATGCTGCGGCGGGGGCGGGGACGTTTGAAACAAGCGGTGAAGTCCCAGCTACTGATGCACGCCATCAGAGCCCCGAACCTGCGGGTGCTCGAGACGTTGAACTGGTGGTACCCGCAGCAAGCGAGAGCGAATTAATTGCGCCTGTGGAGAAATTGGAGTCCAATATTGCCGCACATGGACCGTTATCGCTTAAAGCTGAACAGACACCTGCGTCTGCACTATCGGAACCGGGAACCACACCGGAAGACAAACAAGAGATGGAGGATAGCGGGGAAAGAAGCAAACATGGGTTTCCCTCGGCCACCCTCGATAATGCTGCGTCTATCGAACTACCACCATCCCGCCACGCAGAAATCGCAGAAGTGGACGTCCCCACTGCCACATCTGACATATTACCATCCTCTGTCACACCAACCGAGGAACCAAACCAGAAACAATTGATTGAAAGAGAGATGCCTCGTTCTATCGCAGACAGTGAGAGCCTTGCCGATGTAGTGACGGCGGCCCAAGAGGGAAAAGAGAAAAAGGAGAGAAGAAAGGAGCATCACGCTGCATCGCTAGATGAATCTGTCCCGGCGACTCCGCAAGATGAAACTGCTTCGATAGACGAAATTTTTCCTGTTAAGGCACCTTCGGTCGAGGAAGATAATGACATTGCCCATGAGCCGACCGAAGTCATTCCAGAACAGCCTAGAGATGACGTCCCGCCCGCAGATATCGAGCATACACAAACTCCCGAGACAAGCGTTGAACAAAACCCACCCAAAAGCGATGCACCAATTTATCCGGAAGCTACTAGTGTGCAGGGGCCTATTGCGGAAGCCGAACCCATCCAAGAAAAGGCCCAAGACGAAAGTGCACCTACAGTGGAAACCTCTGGTACAACTGGTGAGCCAACCGTAACAGAGCCGAAGCTTACTCAGGAAGAGCGCGATATCACTGCCAGCATGGAGCCGGTTTCGACAAGCTCGGGTTACGTTGAGGAAGCACCGAAGGAAGATCCGGCGGTGAATACCGATGTCACCGCTTCTGCCCAGAATCCAACTGTGATTGAACCGAGCTCTGCAAAGGATGTGCCCCAAGACGACGCGGTGCATGTTCAAGACCAAACTGAGAGCGCCGCGACTGTTACTGAGAATTTCCAGGAGCTTCCAAGTCTCGAAAAGAACAATGAAGAGGCACCAGTCACTGAACCGCCAAGTCGCACGAACTCGAAAAAGAACAAGAAAAAGCACCGTCGCTCGGCCTCGTCAGAAGTTAAGCAGCCTACTCCTGCTGAAGACGTGACAGACACCCCTTCTATTGACGTATCTTCCGAAGCACCTGCCGCCTCGCAAGCAACTGAAGAGAAGCCTGTCGAAAGTCCAGTGACTGAGACCCAAAAGGGGCTCCACCCTACTATGTCCAAGAAACAAGCTAAGAGGGAGCGAAAGAAGCGCAGGTCAATGGGCCAATCACCTGATGAGCTTCCTGTAGAGTCCGCGCAGCCCACTGCCGTGCACGAAGCGCCCGCTCAAGTGCTGCAACAGCAGGCCCCGGCGCAAAAGGATGACGAGTCTATTGCACAAGAAGTTCAGCATATCAAAGAAAAGGAGGAGGCAAAGTCTGATCTTAAAGCTCGGCCATTTGAGTCAAAAGAAGCAGGATTACTCAGTCCTACATCTGAAGCAGCTCAAGTGAAGGAACCTGAAGGATCCACACTACACCCTGCAGGTGCTGAGGACACCAGCTCCTTGCCAGGAGATGCAAAGAATAAAGTCAGACACCACAGAAGACGCCGGTCCAGAATCCTAGAGCAGCTCGCCGAAGCCGAAGCCGAGCGAGAGCGAGCAAAACAAGCTTCAACCAAAGAAAATCCCACGGGAACGTTGCCTGTGACCGAGTCCAAGCCTACTGCACCTGTTGAGGATTCCGGTAATTACCAACCCCACGATGTGGAAAATGCCACCGCTAACAATCTGAGAAAAAGACCTGTGGACTGATTCTTTGATTTCCTCGCAGATAGAACAAGGACGAGAAGCCCCTTTCGCTTTCCCTTCCTCGGAACAGGTTGATGACAACCAGGTAGCACCTGCTCTGAACGAAGAGCCTCTTGCCCAGCAATCACTAGAGGAACCTCAAGCTTCCGCTAGACCTACAGAGGTGAACAAGGACATGGAATCTCAGGCAGGTCACGACAGTCAAGTCGAGCAATGCACTCAAGAATTGGCGCCCACTCCATCAGGCCAGGAGCGTGAACTTGTTCCTGAGGCGGCACCCGTCATGGAAGAGAAGACGAAAGAATTCACGCCTGTAAATCAAGAAATCGCGGAGCTTCCCTCTATTCAGACAGAGAAAATTGAACGCTCTCTGGATATTATTGGGCCCATCCCTGCGAATGAACCGGTTGCAACTGCTGATGCTGGTGAAATTTTGGAGAAGCCAGCTCTGGATGTTGCGCCAAGTCAGAACCACGAGCAATCATCCAGCAACCAGGAGGAGTCATCGAGCCCTCAGGAAACTGTCTTGCCATACGACTCTCCGACGGCTGAGTCAAGAGAAGAATCTGGCCCTGCCACTCCAAGCCGCAAGAGGTCGAGGAAGGAAAAGAAACGAGCGAGAAAGCGGGCCAAAGAAAACCACGAGGGCTTTGCTTCACCGGAAGGGATTCTCTCAGAATCCACAACCGCACTTATTGAACAGCCACCTCTGGTGAGTGAGCAAATTCAGGGTACAGAACTACCCCAGGGTGAGGAACAAAAGGTTTTCGCGAAGAAACAGATGGAAGAGCCAAGGACCAAGGTCGAGCATCCAGGTGCGACAGGCGAAAAGGCTGGCCAAGAGACTGTTGAGCAACCACTCCGAAGGGAGTTTAAAGAATCAGTCGAAGGGCGACCTACTGCTCAGCTATTGGAGAATGAACAGCCATCTACGCAAGAAAAGAAAAAGGGGGCACAGAATAAGGAACAAGTAAAAATGCAGGGTCCGGGGAGTAATGATAATGATGTCGAGACTATCAACGAACCTAAGACAGAAAAGACCTCCAATTTTGCCCCCGAGTCCAGCACGACACCTCGTCTGTTGGATAGAGTGGCCAGCATCATCTCTGACAGGAAACGGGGAGCATTTCGACTACCTTCCAAGAACCAGTCGGTAAAAGATAGGGTCGAGGATGAGACCACGGAACCCGAAGTGAGTCGCGGATTCGAAAACGAACACGCGGCCTGGGTCTCGGAGGCACCTATCACTTCACAGGACTACCAGAGAGAGCGACTGTCCTCTGCTGAGCCATTTGAGGACGAACCGTCGTTCCAGCTGTCTACGACAACTAATCCTGAAACGACGATTACGGATGTCGCTATTGATGTCGAGGTTGACGAGTTCTACAAAGTTTCTATTCTGCCAGACGAGATGATGAGCGGATCTTCGGCGATTGAGATTGATCCGAGTTTAGGGGATAGCACTGAAAGTGCAGAACAGAGTCCCGATAGCGAGAGGTCTGCACATGCTTCCCCATCTTCGGACGAGCAGTCATCCACTGTTGTCAATTCGTCATCAACACAGGAAGATACTAGCCGGGGGGTCAGCCCATCGCGCGACTTGCGACAAAGTCCAGCAGAGGCACTGTCATCGCGGTCACTGTCACCGTCACCTCCATTACCAGAACCACGCGATCGAGTGGAGAGAACCGACAGAGTACGAACCATGGATCGAAACGGGAAGCCCCTACTGGAGATAAAGCCTGTAGAGTCGCTGCGACCACGAACCCCAAGGTCAACATCTCCGATCCGGAAATACACAGGCAATGCATGGGCGCAGCAGGCAACTGAGAGGTATGGTGAAGAGCCGGTTGTCAAACCTCCTGTTCGACAGAACAGCCTACCGGCCGCGCGAAGGCCACAAACACCAGAGCGCAAGCCGATCCTGCGACCCAGCAGTATGAGCAACTTCCATGGTGTCCCAATTATGCAACAAATTCCTCATAGTCCGGATGTTCCGCGATCGCTGCGTCGCAAGAGCAAAACGACTCGCGACATGGGCGGTGATTTGCGGGCGGCCAGTCGGGCATTGCAGGAGGAAAATGGGTCCCAGCCACCGCCCACCGACATTAACATCGAACGTATCGCCTCGTCGTCCTCTTACGATCCCGTCACCGACAAGGGCAAGCGACCGATACGCGGCATGACGGACGTATATGTATGTGATTTATTTTCTTTTCTTATTTTCTGTTCTATTTTTGAAAAATCGCTAATTTATATCAACCGTGTAGGAGGCTTGGGGCGAAACTCCCAGTTCCCCACGGTCGCCCAGCCGTCCACCTAGCGTCCGACATCGCCGGAGTATGCAACATCTCCAACAACTCGAATCTCGCTTAGATCAATTGATTTCGGAGAATCGACTGCTTTCCGCCGAGCGTGAGGCTGCCGAAGACAAACTCAAAAAGACCACTCTCGCCCGTCGCAAGAGTGATCAGGCTCTTAACTCACAAAATACCGATTTGCGGGATAGATCAGAGGAAGTCGAAGAATTGAGGAAATCCGTGGACTGGTTTCAGAAGGAAGTCAATCGGTTGAATGAAGAAAATGAAGGATTGACGGAGACGAACGCCAACCTCACCGCTGCCCACGAACGAGAACATCAGGAACTCCAGGAATCATCGGCCCGCAAAATTGAGGAACTCAGAACGCGATACCGACAAGCGACTGCTGATACACGAGACCTTATACGACGAGAATTGGACGTGCACTTGGCGCAAAAGAACGCAGAATTACGCCGTCTAAGTGAAGAACTCCAGGAGGAACAGGAGAAGGTACAGCAATTACAACAAAAGCTCGCAACATCAGAAGTTTTGATCCACCGTAATGATCAATTCTTCAGAGCAGCCTGCCATAATTTGTATGCTCGTGTGCAGCATTGGGTGAAACGTTTCTCCAAACATTCCGACCATCGCAACTGCCGGACATTCCACGATATGCAAAAAGACAAGAAACTGGTCGCCCGGTTCGACATTGACAAACTGACTGGCCGATTCGACAACGCCATCCTCGATGGATCCGACGTGGAGTATTACCTGGCCGACCGGGTCGGTCGTCGGGATGTGTTCATTTCCGTAGTGATGACAATGATGTGGAAATTCATCTTTGCGCCGTACATGTTCGGCATGGACAGCGAAAAGCAACAGAAGCTGAGCGGTCTTGAGGAACAACTCACCGAGGCTGGGAAGCTTACTGCCGTCCGTCGCTGGCGGGCTACTACCTTATCTCTGCTGTCCAAGAGCCCTTCATTTGCCGAACAGCGTGAAATTGAGATGGAAGCCGTCACGCGCGAAATCTATGATACCCTTGAAAGTGTCTGTCCACCGCCGGAAGACAGAACAAAAAAGCTTCGCGAGGACCTGCACGGCGTGCTGCAAATCGCAGTCAATCTGTCCATAGAGATGCGCACTCAACTGGCTGAATACTACATTGTTCGTCCTCTCCTGGCCGAGTTTGGCGCCAATGGAGTTGTAACGCGACGCGTCCACTTCAATGAAGCATTGATGAACGAACGCAGTGCTCTCGACTCCGGGGCAGGTGAAGGTTCTGTGCGCTTATTCTTATTCCCGCTCGTGGTGAAGGAACACGATGACAGCGAAGAGGAGGATGACACACACAATGACAAGAAAGAGGACAAGGGTCCAGTGGTTATCTATCCTGCACAGGTGCTTGTTAATCGACCGAAGGAGGTTGTTGAACAATCGAGCAAGTCTCTGGACCGAAAATCATCGGTGCAGAGTAGTGTTCCTTCGTTGAGAATGGACAACACGTGAGGCGCCACGCTCAGAACGAAGCACTGTCTTCATGTGAGGCTCTACTAATTTTCTTGCTGTTTTCAATTTTTCTCGCTCTTGCATAATCATGGATGGGATAGATCGGATGATCTAGGAAAGCGATCCTCGAATCTGGAATATTAAAGGTGTTCTTTTGGCTTTACGATGATGACGATGGTTATGATATTTCCTTTTTGTTTTTACGTTTTTCCTTTGTTATTCTGGGCAATGTGTCTTCTCTCTTCTCAGTGGAAAGGGGCCATTGACTTTAATCCATATGTAGTAGATATTTTTGATGTGTGATGATTGATGACCCTACATTAATTCAGAAATACCAGCTTCTAGTGTTATTGTTCTGCTCTAGTCCCTGCTGTAGTTACTGTATTCTGTAGTTGTGTGGTTGTAGTAAACGTAGTGTAGATGATATCACCTGACTGGTTACACTTCTCCAACTGTTCGTCTCTTCCGTTTCCCAAGCCACCGTCTCAGAGTATCCAAGACAGCATCCAACGTCTTCTGATATTCATTCTACATTGTCCTAGTTGTCCCGAGTGTCTATCTTTTCCCTCCCTATTTAATGGAGTTGGATTCTTGCATTCCTCGCCTCATGCATGGTGTCTTGCCACTATCGTCATTCTCCAACGGCGATTGCAACTCAACTCTTCTTCCCTAATGTTGCATCACTAACCACGGGAATTTGTATTGTTGGTCATGTTGAGAGAGTACTTTTGCCTACTCCTTCAGCCTGTTGCGACGACTGCGTGATCCTTGGTGACTGTTGTCATATTCCTTGCTTTACCCGTCTTATCTCTGCAGGATTATTGGACAAGCTGCACGAGCTTGATCTGCTTGGCCTCGATCGATAGGAGAATAAGGGACAACACGAGCCCTGAACCAACAATAGTTAAGCGATAAATCGAAACAATCCAATCAACAATGACGCCTACCCCTGAAAACAAGAACAAGCGGTCCACCGACGTTGTAGCTTCTTCGCCTGCACGCCGCAATCCAGGTCACCCACCAGTAACACGTCCCTCGGAGTCAGCGCAAGAGACCCGCTCCAACAGCAAATCCGGGGCTGCTAGCAGCATGCCCATGCCCAAGCCAGCAAAGCGCAAGAAAAACCGCAATAATCGCAAGCGTCGTCACCGCCGTCAGTCGTTTCTAACTGCTGAGGAATCGGAATCCCAATCCCAGCAGTTTGAGTCCGCGACCGCTCCTGCTGCAGATTCGGTGGCGAAAGCCCAATCAGCAGCGAACGATCAGTCAAAGTCTAGAGCGCGTCTGCCGTTTTATGGACTGGGGAGAGATTTGAGTGATACTAGTTTGGAGAGTGAGGCTTTGTTGGATCATCGGTATGGTTTTTATTTCTTATATTTATTTTTATTTTTATCATGCTTTAACTTTTCTTGGTTTTGTTTCCTTTATTTTTGTTTTTGAGTTCATTCAATGCTAACCACTGGGTATTTTGATAGACATCAACCCATGATGCGTCCACGCAGGGAAAGCCGTCTTGCTCAATCCTTCAAACCCGGTTCCGTTACAGCGGCTCTTCGTCCTGATACAGCTCGTGCAAACCTCTCTAGGAGTTCTCGCGTTGATAATGACAGTGATGCTTCGGATATAGACGATCGGACGCCATTGATGCGGCCTTCCTCCGGCCAGACTTCCAATGTGCCTCGATATGGGACGGACACATATTCAAGCCAGCTCTCGGCCCGGAAACGGCAGCCGTCAGTGCAAACTACTTCATCCCGGGCCTCTTGTCGCGCTCCCCGGAGTCCTACAATTAACGATCGCGATTATGACATCAACAACCCTCCTTCGATGCCCACCTCACCGAAGACGGGTCCAGAAATGGGATATGATGATGCGGTTGTAACCGGTGCTGATTTTGACTTCTTGCTGGCGAAGTCAATTGACAATCGGGTAGAGGCGGGGCCGCGCGACATGGTGATTGATATGGATGGTTCGCATGGACCTCCCAACAATTCGGCCCCGTCATCCTCACCATCCCCTCGTCGTCGCCCATCGCAGGATGCGCTCCGGCGGCGCCGGACAGTGACTTTGCCAGTCGAGGAGGACGTTTGCTTCCCGACGGATGTACACTCGGAGGCCGAGGATGAACATCGGACGGCCCGAAATGGTGAGCGTCGGCGGAGAAGGCATCGAGAATGGCCAGATCTGTCTATTCTTGAGGAATGGATGCGTGAGGAAAAGGAGGACCGCCATGGAGACTTCCGTTCGAAGAAAATTAGTGAACCGATGCTTATTGAAGGGCGCTTGCGACCCCAATATCAAGCATGGCGACGTGAGGAGGATGATGCCCCATATCGATTTACTTATTTTAATGAGGAATATCAGAGCACACTCCATGCTCAGAGTATATCCGAACTCATCCAGCCGGGAGGAAGTTTACGTGAGCTGTTTATTCCGGAACCTCCAATCCTGGAGGACTCGTCGGACGATGAAGATACGGATTCTGATGGCGGACAAGCCCATCATTACTATAACAACAACAATGCCTCTTTCAATGGAACCAACCCGACTTTTTCGAATCCCTTTGCGAACCACAATGGCGGTGAAGTCGAAAATCACGGCAATAGCGTTGTATCAGATCCAAACCGTGATAGCTCAAAGCAACGCACTTCTACTCTCGGTGAGGTTGTTTCAGAGGCACGTAATCAGTCAGTTGAGCCACCAACTGTACGGTCCCAAACTCCCTCCAAACCGAAGAAATATGGCCCCCGACCGACCTTCTGGCTTGATATACTTTGTCCTACGGATGCTGAGATGAGAGTGATTGCGAAGGCGTTTGGAATTCACGCTTTGACAGCAGAGGATATCATGATGCAGGAGGCTCGTGAGAAGGTCGAGTTGTTCCGGAACTACTACTTCATCAATTACCGCACATTTGAGCAGGATCCGAACAGTGAGACCTATTTGGAGCCGGTTAATATGTACGTGGTCGTTTTTCGCGAAGGTGTGCTTTCCTTCCACTTTTCGCAAACGCCTCATCCAGCCAATGTTCGGCGCCGCATCCGCCAATTGGTGGACTACCTCATTCTCAGCTCCGACTGGATCTCCTACGCCTTGATCGATGATATAACTGATGTGTTTGGGCCGTTGATTCAAGCTATTGAAGATGAGGTCGATGAGATTGACGAAGTGATTATGCGCATGCATTCTGAAACTGAACGAGACGCAAGCACCAACAAAGATAGTTTGGCCAGCAACACGGTTTCGAACCCTCCAGCTCCGGGAGAGATGCTGCGACGTGTGGGTGAATGCCGCAAGAAGGTTATGGGGATGTACCGCCTGCTTAGCAACAAGGCAGATGTTGTTAAGGGGTTTGCGAAGCGGTGCAATGAGCACTGGGAAGTTGCGCCTAAGTCAGAAATTGGCCTCTATTTGGGTGATATTCAGGACCACATCATGACTATGACCAGTAGTCTGACGTATTACGAGACGTACGTCCCTATACTTCTAACATCTTGGATGACTGTCTACTGACTCCATTTGAACAGCCTCCTGTCCCGAGCACACTCGAATTACCTTGCTCAGATCAATATTTTGATGAACGAACGACAAGAACGCACTGCGGATGTGCTTGGCAAGCTAACCGTGCTGGGAACTATCGTTCTACCGTTGAACATCATCGGTAGTTTGTGGGGCATGAACGTCAAGGTTCCCGGACAGGATGTGGAAAACCTGGATTGGTTCTATTCGAGTATGTCTTTCTTTTACATTTACATTGAAATCAAGCTAACTAGTTGCAGTCACGGCCGCACTGCTTCTCTTCGCCATTGCCGCGTTCTACATTGCAAAACGCGTGTACAATATTGTATAGATGGCACGATAACTATACCCACCCGGTTAACGAAGGCCATGATGACGAACGATACCCTTGGTCTATTCGAATGTTATGAGCTGGAGATAATAATGAATTTGTATAGGATATGGTTTGCTTGATGATTTACACGTTGGATGTTGGTGTTGCTTTTATACTAGTTTGTGTTTATGTTTTGTTTGTGTTTGGTGGTTATTAGGTGGAGATTCTTTTGTTTGTACAACTAGTCAGGGCTCATTGTCTGTTGGTATATATATACGATACTTGCTATAATGAATTTTCATTACTGTATTCTTTACTGCGTTCCTGGGATAAGTCTGGAACCCCGGATGAGGTCATCATGAGCCGATCGTAATTCCATGACGGAATGTAACATACAGCACCACACAATTGGCTGTGTAATTTTGCCTCCCAGCGTCACATCTCGTCACGGCCTAGCCTGGTCGTTTTCGTCCCCATTATTCCTTCTTCCTTCCTTTTCCTCTATTATTCTCTTTCTCGACATTTCTTCCTTTTCTATACTCTCTATACTCTCTATACTCTCTATACACTCCATCCAATACTTCTCTACTCAGTATAGTCTCTCCATCCAACCGACCAACCGCCGTTCTCCTTCCCTCCCCGTTCGCCCCGATCCGTGACCATTTCTGCGTCCCTGCCCTGACGTGGACTACTATCATTGGCCTCTTAACTAGTCTACTGTCCAGTCCCGTTGCTTCCTGCGCTTCCTAGTCTTCCACCGCGTCCTCCGGATAGCCCTGCGATTCGACCCCGATCCTGTCTCCATCCTTGCTTCGGACAACTGCTTATCGACCGACGGCCGCGATTACTCCGGAGAACTATACGCGATTGATCTTCTTTACATCCATCGTGCAGAGAAGAGTTGGGAATCAACCAAGACAGAATATTGCTATTGTCAAAGCGGATCCATCGCCCGGCTACTTAAGTGGGACGCGCCTTGGTTCTAGACGTTCCCGCCGGTCCGTGGGCAGTATAGAGAATACTTTGCGGTGACATACATACGGCCACTGTACTGTACGTTGAGCTATGGATGCAGCCACGTTCTTGTCTGGGTTATGATTGATTTGGGTTTATGAACGGATCCTGTGAAGTGAAAAAGCAACACAACTCGTCCAACCTATTGTCCTCCGTCACCAGGCACGATTCTCTGCTTCCTTGCCTCCGTTGGGTTTAAATTTTGTGTTCATCAGCATGTGTTCTGCGTCTATTCGTCCTCTGGCCTTATAGTCTGCGTAACGTGTTGTGTGTGACGAGAGATCAGCTTTCCAACTCAGGCTTGCTCTCTATTCCTTTCACTCGCACTATTCTTGCCCTTTTTTCCGGCTCTTTTCCATTGGGGACCTGCGGGTCTTATTTTTTTTTTTTTTTTTTTTTTTTTTTTTTTTTTTTTTTTTTTTTTTTTTGTGTGGTAAACACTTGTCACTGGTTTCCTCTCGGGTCTTCTGACTTGTCTCCGTTGTGTCAGCAAATATTGGCTTGACAGTGACCATGGTGGAGCCCGAGAGGTCGCCTTACCGCAACGGTACTGTGTCTGGTCGATCCAGACTGCCCAAGGAAGAGGATGAGGCTGCTGCAGGAGACATGATGGAAATTCCAGAGTCGACCGCCATTAAATCACAGGCCAAGTCCCCTCTCCTATCCCAGATACCTAAAATCTCTTCCGCTACCACGACTCCCGGTGTTTCCGCTCCGCCCTCGACGGATACCTCGACTTTTTCGTCTCGCGAATCTTCCCCCGTTCGTACATCGCTCCGTGCTGGCACGTCGAACTCCATATCGCAGTTACCGCCTTCCTCACTGCGGAAGAATAGCCAGGACCGAAGCCCGCCCAGATCCACCCCCGGTCAGAATCCTACGTCCTCTACGGTACAACAAACTTCATCACAGGCCGGTAACCCCCCCGTCCTTAGTCTTCCTTCGGGTACCGAGTCATCCACCAATGCTTCCAGTCCTGATAAGCCCAACATGCCAGCATGGGCCACGTCGCACAGGCCAGACCAGGAGTCGACCCAGCCTAATACTTCGAGCAAACGGTCCTCAATATCACCCCCCGATGATCCTGCCGCCAAAGGGGACCGCACCATGCCTCGAACCGTGAACAGGGGTCTCAATGGGTCGAGCCCCGCCCTAGAAACCGTGCAAGAAATGACCAGTGACCACTCATCCCCGTCAAACGGTACTATCCTCAACCAGCATTTAACGGAAGAACCGCGTTTGCAAAAGATTGACGAGGATGCGACTCCAAAGGCCAATAAACAAGGTGCAGAAAGTGGTAGTGAAAGTGGTGGCAACAAAAGTTCGGAACCAATGGATGAAAAACGCCGCAAATCTTCGACTGGTGCGAAGAGAACAGGCACTATCATTCCGAAGAGATCAACCACATCTTTGAGCGGAAATGGCGCACGCGGGAAACCTACTGATGGATCTGTACGGAATATGATTGTTGAAACGGAAACAGTCAGCTCCATACCCCAGGTTTCACTGAGTGCAGCCACTGGGGATCGGGGTCATACCGGTCGTGTCGATCCCGGCACGCTTCGCGTGCAACCCAGTACCGAAACTATTCGTCCGAAGAAAGAAAAAAAGAAGGCACGCAAGCCAGCTCCGCTACCCAGTGGTGCGGCATCCTCAAAGGCCGATATCTTCGAGGCCAAGGTGGCAAGTGCGGTTGATGAAGCGGACGTGTCTGATTCTGACGAAACATTTGTCTACGAGTCTAACCCGCCCGATCCTTATCCTGTCCGACAGTCACGATACCACTCTCGAACACCGAGCGCCACCTCTATGGCCAGCCAAGCCGATCAGTTTGGCAATCGGGCACGTCCAACATTGCCATCTGCCAATCACAGCGTTACTGGTAAACGCAGTATGAAGTTCACGAATAATACCTATAGTAACAGTTTGGATGGAGACGCTGGCGATGAAGGATCCAGCAATGCAAGGCATGATGGCCCTGCTTCACACACGCGCCACCATCACATCGGACGGTATGGACGCAACAATTTGTACCCATCCATCTTTGATAGTGACTCGCCGTTCCCCCAGTCACACTCATATATTAAGTCGCCCCGACACTTTGTTGGGAGCGGGTATCGGCAGGCAAGACAACCCGGATCTCGTGGAGTGCCAAATTATCGCACCATGGGCCATTCCAAAAAAGCTGGTGACATGTATGGCTACGACTATGATGCAGAGGGGGCAGATGATGAGCGCACGCCGCTGGTTGGCTCACCGCGCGTGCCACGAAGTCGTCACGGCGGTCGACGGCCTAACAGTGCTAGCGTGCGTCAGATGGAATACATGCACCGACGACGTGGTTACATGTCACGATATGGACTCTGTACCGCGGTTTTCCTATTGCTCTTTCTGGTTATTGGAGGCGCTACTTCGTTCATCGTTGCCATCACCAAACCACTACGGGAAGTTCATGTCGCTGCCATTCAAAATGTGCTGGCTTCCGAACAGGAACTTATGTTGGATCTCAACGTGCAGGCTACCAATCCCAACCTGTTTCCAGTGGTTGTCGACGATATGGACGTTAATATCTTCGCCAAGAGTCGATTTGTCGGGACCGATAAACTCTGGCGTGAACATGGCTCTGAGCTTGATGACTTTCCTCGTGTTGAACCTAGGAATTCGGACGACTCATCAAACCAGCTGGTGCACATTAATGATGGGATCGACCACGGTACTGATCCCATTCCTAATGATCCTGTTGGAGATCCGCAGACGATGCTTCTCGGTCGTGTATTCCGCTTCGATTCCTCTCTTGCTTTTGAGCCCTCACCATGGAACTACGTGGCGTCATCTTCTAAAGGACAAATCCGCCTTCCGCGTCCCGGAAACAAGACAGAAGAAGGTGGTACCGAACGGTGGGAGCGGGTTCTACAGCACCCGTTTGACTTGATCGTCCGCGGTGTTATCAAATATCAACTACCTTTGAGTTCAAGATTTCTCTCCGCGTCGGTCAGCTCTAGTGTCAAGGTGACCCCAGATAAAGGCGACAATAATGGTGGTGACCACAATGGTGATGGTGACCCCGAGCATGAGCCTGAGCATCCCCCGAGCAACGACACGGTCAGGATTACTTCACCCCGGAGACCTCGATATGCGCTTTTGGTGCGAAGAGACACGATTAATATAATGGAACGACCCTTTATGGCTTGATTGATACGATAGCGACAACTTTGATGCCTTTTTCTTTCTCTTCCCTGTATACCCTTATTGTACTGACTCGTCTAACATTTGATTCATTCCTCTTTTTTTTTTTTTTTTTTTTTCTTTCCTTGGTTCTGGCAATTAGGCGAAGAGGCTATGCTAGTAACCTTTGTCTACCATTTTTAACTACTTCTACCTTTTCTTCTGTATATTCATGAAGCCTGGCGTTGTGATCTTTCGCTACAATGGAGTTTAGAAGCCTCCTTGTCTTACGGAGTACTATGTCTTACTATGATATCCCATACAGTCTGGTCGGTCATTGAGAACTTTTATTCTTTTTGTTCAATATTGTTGCTTTCTTTATTATGGTATTGAATATGTGGTACAAAAGTATCGAAGGCTGGATATTTATGTATGCATTAGGATAGCATTATTTTTTTTTGTAGGAGAGTATTGATGTCTTCGATATCCATGTCTAAGATGACGACCATCAAAAAGATGTTGCCCTATTCCTTAGCAATCACAGGTGAAATCTCGGAGTTTCGATCAAACGAGCAAAAAGATACAGCTTGGGAGTGTTAATGCGATCTAGCCTACTGGATTAGGTAGGATGTACCCCTGGTAGGTCTGAAGAGACCTATCTACATGAAGTTCATGACTCCACCCTGTAATACTTAAGTTCCTCCAACGATACATACATACCTCGCCAGCTTCTTGAATTACAGACACCCACACAATGTCGTCCGTCAACCACCCCCAAATCCTCAGCCTCTCCTCCCACATGACCTCATCCCAAATCTGGCCCTACGCATTCACCCCGTCTCTTCGCTTTCAACTACCTTGAACACAACTATCCCCGCACAAGAACAATAACAGACACTAACCTAATCGTCCGCAAATTCAACAAAAATCATGCCGTCCTCACACGCGTCATCGACTACGCCCGCAACGGTGGCCCCCTAATCCTCACCGGTTTCTTCATCTCCACTATCGAAATCAACTTTTCCGACGATTTCTTCAATAGCACCTGCAACTTCCCCTAGAAGGACGGGGGCTACAACCGTGCTGAATTCGGATTTTTTCCGTCCTCCGCTATGCCGCCGGGGACTAT